GCTCATCTGTTACTGACAAGGACATGACAGTTTCTGAAAGGTCTACAAGGACCAAATCAAACGATCCCCAATAATCTTCTGGCAAAAGAAGTAGACTCTTGGTAGCATCTCCAAACCACCACTCAACTCTCTCATCGTCAAAGTGAGGTAAGGTATTAAAGTACTTGAAACACTTTCTTGTCACGGTTTGGTCCAGTTCCAATCCCACCACAAGTTCCATGTTGGGGTATTTAAGAGCTTCATGCAATAACATTGAATCTCCACCACCAATAAAGATAATTCTTCTGACATCTTCAACAAATCTGCCTGCTCCATGAGTAATGTACTCATGGTAATGAGGCCTGTAGTTGGCACAAATCTACATCATCAAGGCGAATGGATGAGTCTTATGACAGCCAAGTAAAAAGATTTTGCAAACTAAAAGATTTGACTGTTTGCCATACGCACCTGGATGATTTTGTCTAAATTCATGCAAACATCGTTGGTACTTTGCTTTTCCTTGAACTTGACAAGCTGATAGGCAGACTGCGTTTTCTCAAGCAAATCAAACCCTTTTTGTGCAAAGGCGTCGGTCGTATCGCATGTGTAGAGATGATAAGCAACGTCGTCTTCCTCGAAATTTAGCGGATCGTAGTGACTTTCATTTTTCAACGCAACAAGACTAGAAGCGCACGAACCCTCACCCCCCGACTCGTAAGCAACGCAAGTCTGTTCCTGAATTTGTTCCTCGTCAAGAAGCTTTGCGCTCAAAGATTCATGTGCTTTAGTGAGAGCAGCAATGTTAGCGTCGACAAACTCCCAAATGGTATCCCACTCGTATTTGGTCATTCCATGATCTTTGTCCTCAAAGCCAAAGTTCCAATCAATGTTCTTGATCCTGCGCAAACGTCGTATTTGGCGACCAATCCACATCATTGCCCGTTCCATCTTTTCCTCACTCTTGGGTCTGTGCTTTGAATGCCATTTTAGAGAGATGTCCCCATTGTCATCTTCATCCAAATCAAACTGATAATGCGTCGGCATGAAGTAATGCCACCGCTGCGGCATCCGTTCAACGAAACCGTAATCTCTCAAAATTTCAGCGGTTCCATAGAAGTTTTTTCGTCCTCCACACTCCTCACAGAAATTGTAGGAGATAAAATTTCTTCTCCCTCCTCGATGGTTTTGATAGCAGACGTTACATGAGCTACACCTTCCTCCTCTACTGTTTTGGTATTGGTCCATTTTCCATTTCTGTGATTATAAGCATCATATGCTGGGATCATAATAGCATCATCGGAACGTTGAATGATCAATAGGGCGGCCTTGGCGGCGATTTTATCTTTTGGGTCACCTTTGCATCGTTTTCTCCACCGATCGACCCAGTCGGTTGGTCTTGTGGGAGGGATCGTGTCATCTCCCACAATATCGTCTAGGAGCTTCTTTGCTGGTTTCGACCACCCCGAAGGAATTTGGTTGTCCGCTTCTCCGATGAGATATTTGGCATAAGGTGCGTACTTGGATTTGTCTCCCAGCTTCATTTCCCTTGCGACCGCTCGTATAGTACCACAAGGCAGCTGACCAGCATCGTCTGGATCATCGGATTCAATGAGACTTGACCAGGGCACCCGTAAAATCTGTTCACCTCGATTGATGCGCTCCTTGGCATACACGATCAATGGAGTCGACAAATCGCCCGGTACAAGACGACGAACGTCCTGCTTGGGCGAAACAAACCCGCCTTCTGAAGTATTGACCCATTCAAAGATCGCTCTCGCTTCTTCCAAATGCGTATCAACAACTTCTTCTGCAGCAAAAGTCTTTGGAAGTGACAACGAGGAAAATGACAGAATGAAGGCAAGGATTCCAACAAGAGTTCTGAATCCTTGTCTCGATTGGATTGCCATTGTGAGCTGTACTTGTAAGACTACTACGTCGCGAACGACACGGGAGAGACAGGGAAAGATTGATTGAAAATGCGCTTTTTCTTTGTGCGATACAGCACACAACAAAACGTTTGAGGTGCGAGACCAAAGAGTTGCTGTTCACAATCAAGTCGTCAAAGAAACCAGTCGCCCGCTCACAGTCAGTTGCTCTCAAAGGAATGATACTTGTGCGCTACTACAGAGTAGAAGGTAGCTAACGGTACTGCTACTACGACTAGGTACAACAGGATCCGAGACGACCACACGCAACGGCTATGATAGATGATAGAATTAGTCCTGCAATGCAAGCATGCACGGTGCACCGTCAGCCAATGAAACACTCATGTAGTCGAAGGAGTCGTCGGTGACAATCGAACATACTGTGGTACAAAGTTGTACGACGGTATCTACCGGTATCTACCTAGGTACCTACGTAGCTATTTGAAACGAAAAAGGCCACCATGATTATATAAATCATCTCATTCACACCAGTCAGCGATTCAGCCACCGGTAGATATGATAGCTGCAGGTAGGCAGTACGCAGTACTACCGTACTCCATATTACCTGAAGATAGCTACCGTAGGCCAAAAAGTTACGGAAGAAGTAAAAGTTTGATCGGCGCCTTTATTCCATGGAAGTCTATGCGATTGAGCCACAGAAATAATGGTCCCACCAGCGTAACACTGGATTTTGTGGCCAGCTGAAGCAACTTAATCATTCATAACAGCAAAACTCAGTTTTGCCACCGTGTCTTTGGTGCAAAATCTTGTGTTCGGGTGGTCTATCACCTCTTCACATGTGGACGCGAGATTGTTTTGGCCATATGACAAGCCAAATACGAACAGTTTACGACGTAGTCCTCGGTGTAGTTGATCATTTTGCAATTAAAAGTTATCACAGTTTTTTTTTGTTTCTTTTAGTTTTTTTTTCTTTCTCTCCATGTTGTTGGTGTCCATAGCTTCTTCTCATCCACAAAAGTCGCACTCATAAAAATGACGTTCTTGTTCCCTTTCGTTTTTACTTGGTCACGACAATTTGTCGGGGTCCAGCCAAGACTTCAGTGGCGCGATGCACTGCATAGTCGGCATAAAAAGGGAAATCACCCGCGCGATAGACTTGAATAAAGTAATCCAGTTGGGTGGTGCCGTCATCTTGAATGGCCATGGCAGACAAGGCGGTCTTCACGTCAGCGTCGGTGGGTTCCGCCGTCTCAAATCCAGGAAGCGAGCCTGGAAAAGTCGCAGACAGGAAAAGAGGAAAAACAAATGAATTAAGGATTGAGCAACTGAATGATGTAATAACTGATTGTCAAGCCAGACAAAATGACAACAACTGTCACATACCTCCAACCGTTACAATGGGAGCCTTCGCTTCGGTGGCCAAGGCGGCGATGGAAGACGCTGCCCGGAATGCATCCTTTTGAGCACTCGTCAAGAATGCCAAGCCCTCTGCCTTCTCCCTAAGGGTCTTGGCCTTGGAAACTGCTTCGACAGCAATCTTAAGGTTTGGCGTAACGGAAATAATGGCACCAACTACCGGACCGCCAGCAACTTGCTCGGTACCAGTAGGATAAAAGTTGTTCACCGTCGTAAAGGAGAAGGGAATCTTTGGAAACGATGACAAATCTTTCAGCATCATCGTGTCGCCCTTCTTTTCGGGTGTCTTCATGAGATCCTGGACAATATGAGGTGGAGAAAAAAAGTGCGATTCGTCACCGGAAATGACGCTGGTTGTTTGTTCCCAGAATTTGTTGCGAAAAATTTCGTACTGATCCGAAGTAAAGTATGTATCCAACTGTTGCTTATCCATGGGCGGCGATCCAGGCGGAAATTGCGAAAGATAAGCCTCCATGTTGGCCCGAAACTGGTCCTTATCCTTTTCCATACCCAAAAACTTGAGCTTCGAAGAGTCAACCGCTGCCGGCATGGTGTCCGGATACGCTTCGGCATACTTCAATAAATTCTCCTTAAAGTCTTCAAGACATTCCTTGGCATCGTAACAGGACAGGCCTTCGTTACCTGTCGCCACCGAAGTCACCAAATCGGAGAAGTTTTTCTTGGCCATGGCATACTCTTCTGCCACGGCAGTTCCTGGTTCGGGAATCATCGCTTTGACATACTCCACCATATCCTCGTGACAGGAATGCTGGGCGTCGACAACACCCACTACGGCGTTACCATTGGCGATGGCAAGTTGAACAGCGGCCAAACCATTGGCTTGACTTGCACCATACACCAAAACAGTGCCTTTGCTGGAAATCTTGGCCAATCCAGCAGCTCCTTCAGCAGCCATACGCAACAAGGCGAGATACTCCAAGGGGGTTCCTGCCACGGCATCTGCGGGAAGCTCACCATATCTTCCGTGAACGACTGATCCGCTCGGACTCAAGGCCGCCGAGTCCAAAGAAGAAAGTTGCCCTTTTTCAATATCTATGGCATGAGCGGAAGTGACTGGATTTCGCTCATAATAATTGGGGTCTTTGTCATCGTCGGCTGGTGTCGGTTCGACCTTCTTTTGTGGAAAATTCGCAATCAACGCTGGAGGAAGAGGAACGGGATTCTTCATCTTTCTTCGTGTATGAATTCCTCTTCGGCAGAGGGCAGATCTAGCAGCAGATCGCAAGGAGGACGAAGCTGTTGATAACATCATCATCAAGTTGGGTGCAACCCCTAAAAAATTGACTGAAAATTACCGAAAACTACCGGAGCCTACAGCACCCAAGAGAGACTATGAAGGTGTGTAGGACGAGATAAACGAGGCCTGGGACGCCCTCAAGAAACGCCACTTGCAAATACTTCGAGTATAATATTGTGTTGGAACGCAACTTGTGCAGTTGAAAAGAGAGTGCCGACCGCTTAGCGTGTGCAAATAACATTAAGTACGGTACCGTATAACGTACGTCGTACGACGTAGTAGTAGTACGAAGGCAACAAAACAAGAAGCGACAGCAACGTGATCCGCGCGACGAACGGACCCCCTGGCGTTGCCGTGAGAAGTATTCCAGTACTACGGATTCTGATGAATTCGTGCGTTTCATTGACTGTGAACCCTTTACTCGTTTCATAAAACCATATTTTCACTATTATACACTGTTTGGGGATGTAACTCAGTGGCAGAGTGATCGCTTCGCATGCGATAAGTCGGGGGTTCAATTCCCCCCATCTCCATTTTTTATTTGCCCCGTAGCATTCGAATTCCTATCACAACTCTACCTCTCTCTCTAGCTAACTACCGTATTTCCCGGAGTTTTGTCCTCCCCGGAATCCTGTCTACACAGGCGTTTTTTCATGTACATTTGTACCGTTCTCCGCTGTTTCGCCATTTACGGTCTGTAGTCATCCACAGCCACACTCCTCGCATTCTCAGCTTTCCATCGATATACGTATTGCCTACCATGTCACACCATCCCAACGAACCATTGGTCGAAATTGTAGGAATCTAAGAGAGTTAGGGTTAGGGTCACAGTTTTTGTGGGCAAGCACTTGTTGCAATAGACAGTAGTGTTGTCCGCTTTCGTTCTATTCAAGTCTGCAATGGTGAGTAACTACAGCAGTACTGGCAACAGTTCTTGTATTTCACTACGTATGCTTTTTGGCCAAATCATCAGATGAAGGTGTTGAAGAAACTGCAATTGGAGTTTACTGGGTCACAGATGGCATCGATCGATGCATCGTTGGTTTCCTGCCCCGCCATTGTATTCGACTTAAAGAAAAGTACGAAGGAAGAGTTGCTCAGGTTGTCGAGTTCCTCAAGTCATCTGAAAGTCCATCCGCACGACGAAGATCCCACCGGGACCGAGGAGTATGCATGGCAGCTTTTCTACAAACCTGATTTGGATGACAATATATAAAAACGCATTTTATATTAAGATTTTTTTATTAAAGTGCATTGTCATCTCGTTGGTGATCATTCTCGTTGTGATCATTTTCGTTGTCTTGAATCTCCTCATTTGGAAAGTATGAGTATGGTTGATGCCGCCAACTATTTTTTCTAATCTCCAATGGTAGCTCTTGCAGTGTTTTCACCACCCAACTTGCAACAATTTGTCTTGATGGAGGCAAGAATCGTATCGTTTCACCTTGTTCGACCATCCAGTCTTCCCACTCATTCCGTACACGGTTCTTACAGTTAAGAGGTTTTCCAACCCCTGATAAAGCAAAAGTGATCCTACTCAAAAGCGCTGCAATGTTGCGACGCATGTCCGTCACGCAAATCCCCGTAGTTTTTGACGCCTGTCCGCCGCCCCCAAATCCCCGGAGTTTTGTCTACATTGCCGAAAATTCTTGTACATTTGGTGAGGACAAAACTCCGGGAAATACGGTAGAGAGACTACCGTACTTGCAGTTAGTAGTGGGCTCTTTATTTGATACTACGTAGTAGTAACCAACAAGAATTGTTTCTTGCCACCCTACCATGGGAAGATTATACCGCAGTGCCAGATTTCACTTGTGGCCTAATACCACTAACCCACACTTGAAAAAACTCCTCTTGGATACATGTAACAACACAAACATACACAGTACGGAAGTTTGTTTTTTACCATATTTGTTCAGAGATGGCATTGCAATCAATGATGGGCACCAAAATGACAAATCAATGGGCCTATCATGTGACTGCCTACAGCCTTGGTTGACACCAACAACAACGACAAACACCTGTTGTAGTCCAGTATCACTGGAACAACAAAGGGAAGATGATATTCTGCATGTTGTCCTATCTATCAGCAACCTCAGCCTCACAACTGCTCCAAAAGTAGAGATACACCCACTTGCAAATTTGAATGGCCCAACTTCGTGGCCTAGGAAAAGTTTTCAATAGCTTGGTTGGAGGGGCTATGTTGTCTCTGTCTTGTACCAGCCAAATGCAGACAAAGAAATTTGTAGAAAAGCCCCACTATTAGTAAGAAATGTTGGAGCCTCCTACAAAGTACCACTTACCTAGATTTGAAGCATATGTGCCTCCTCGAACAAAAACAAAACCTAACACAGTGATCATCGTTCATTCTCCGCTGTTCCTGGCTGATAGGATTATTGCCAAGAGTAGCAAATCCAAGAAATGGGTCTGCAACAGCATCATATTATTTTCTGGTGCATGATCTCGCATTAAACCTTCCATCATGCGCCAAGCGTGGCCAAAAGTTCGGTGGAGATCATACAGCCTCGATCACCCGAATTGACAACGTTCAAGTCGTATCCATGGAGATCATACAGCCTCCATCACCCGAATTGACAACGTTCAAGTCGTATCCATGCTCTCCGGAGGTAGATGCTGCATCAGACCCGGCCTGAATGGATCTACTTGTAATGAAATGTCCATTCAGTCTATTCTTTCTTTCATTCCGTTTGGAGCGGTGAAAGTTGGTAGACTTCCAAACTCCTCCATCGACTCTCTGATCAGCAAGCCTTTGTTGCAGCTTGGAAGGCGTTTTGAGCACCCGCTGAGGAGAAAGATTTTGGAATACCGCCTCCATCTCCAGATGTTTGCTCAGTGGAACAGAACCGTAGTCAGTACGATTGGTGCAAATGAGGATACGATCGTGGTTCTACAGTGAAGAGATATCTGTGATCAGTACGGAGTAAATCAAATTAAGCTTTTGTTTAATACCATAGTATTTTCTTCGATTGGTCACTACCTAGTGCTATAGCCAAAAGTAGCCCGAATATTGAATAACAACCACACACCACCAACAATAGCCGGGCTCGAGATGCTCTTCAGCTCGCCTCCAGCTCACTGCTATTAGTACCTACGACAAGTTCAACTTCTGGAGCATAACATCGGTTTGAGTTCATAGAGGCAAATACGGTGGCAAGGGTATGACTACTTTTCTTCCTTGGCTTCTGCCAAAACGTCCTTCAATTCGCCTGATTCGTGCATTTGCGTCACAATGTCGCAACCTCCGATGAACTCCCCATTGACATAAAGCTGAGGTATCGTCGGCCATTCGGAGAACTTTTTGACTGGCAGGGTGGGGCAAAGGAGACGAGAAGGAGAAGAACAAGAGATTCAGTCAGATAAAATCTCGAGATCGATGAAAGAATAGATGAGTCAAATGAAACACTGTACTTACCGCCTTCCCGAATGTCGGGGTAATCCAACACATTGACGCTGCTAAAGTCGACACCTTCAGCCTGCAAGACTTGTACCACTCGGGCTGAGAACCCACCTGACATGAGCACGGAATGCAACGAGAGACATGCATTCAAGTCAAAAGTCACCGGGAGTTTCGTCAAAATTAGAGAGATTGTCAAGATCAATTTGCAAGCTGTGTCATTCACTTACACATGGGCATGCTGGGGTTTCCTTTCATGTATAACATGATGGGGTTGTTTTCGACATGTTCTTTGATCATTTTGAGTGCCTCATCTTCACCTTCCACGACTTTCCGTTTTGGAGCAAAGTCATCATGAGAGGAGGAAAACATTCTTGATGCCAAATGGTGCGGACTTTGGCATGTGAATGAATCACCCAAAACTCGATGATGGGCGGATGGGATCAAAGTAGAAAGTGATCGTGTTGAAGTAACCAACATGTTTCGACTGGATTGTGTACCAACGCCGGCATAAAGTGACGACTTGCAGAATACAGAGGTGGCGGCCCGGGAAAACATTGTGGAGATGCTTGTGATCAGTGGTAGAAAGCAGAAGGATTGAGATTACAAGTTTTGCACAGAATCAAGCACAGTGGGTACTTTATTTGTAGTAGAGTTTGTTTCCATCAATCACAAGGATTTGTGGCGGAATTTCTTGTCGAAGATCGCGTCGCTGTATGAACGCTGTACGAAATTGCTCTGGGGATTGATCGTGACTTAAGAGGAAAGGATTGTCTTCGATTTTTCATTTTGCATCCCTTGGCACTGCAAGCGGTAAAACCTACCGTGCTTCAGCTTCGAGTACGGTAGACGACCGTAGTGGGGGCATTCAACCATTGTTCCATTGGTGACTCGACTCATTTGACCCATCGGCATCAAACTACCGTACTCTATCAAACGAGCTGATCTCTACCGGTAGCTACTGTAGTGTATAGATGGGATTAACATACTTCCACAAGTATTGCGACGCAGTCCATTTTCCTCTTTACAAAACATGGAAGATTTCTAGTCATTATAATGAGCCGTTGCTTCTGGGAATGCTGTTCCAATCTTGTCTCGAGCCATCTTGTAGCAACGGATGTTGAGTTCAAAGATATCAGTGCCAGTGTCCAACTTGATGTGATTTTCTTCAGCACCCAACAAGAAACACATGGAGTAGACCGCCATCTCGAATTCTGGTGAAGTACCAATAAAACTTGTGCCTACCAACTTTGGGTGTCCGTGCCAATCGAATTGCAACGTCAGTACTTGGTCGTCTGAGTTGGTTTGAGCCTCGCGACTGCTCCTCGGCTTAATGTAACCTTTGTAGTCGATGTTTCCAGCTTTTTCTTCCAGATAGAAACGGATCCAGTTGTGCATACCACTAACCTCTCCATTTTTAATCTCACCGACGAAAACTGACAATGATAGAAACGGGAAAGACAAGTGAGCTTAATTATTCAACATAGCGGTCTTGGATGTAATGAATGTCAGTTACCATGTTCAAAACCACTGGAATCCGTGACCTGTTCACGACGGTAAAATTCAAACCAAATTTTGTACAGCAGATTCTTGAATTCCGATGCACCTGAAGGGATATCTTTGCCATGCCTGCACAAATATTTGTGGCAGTACTGCATGGGAGCTGTTTGCATGATGGCATCCAAAAACAGATCTATCTCACGACGTTCTACACTCGTTACCGTCTCCTCATTACCGGTATGTCCTGTATAATTGTCTAACAAGGCCACAAACGCCCTGTAAGTGGGACGTTGGAAGGGTTCCTTCCCAACACTTGTGAACAGTGGCTCTTCCGCATTTTCTTTCCAGTAAGGTTTCTTGCCTTCTTGCACGTTAATGACATAGTCTGCAGCAGGATTAAGTCTATTGGCATCTAGGTTCCACAATTCTTGGATGGCATCACTGAGTCCAATGCCAAGGTCAAAATTCTGTTTCAAATTGTACTCCTTGGGTCTGAGAAGTGCAGAGAGAATTCAAAAATCGTCAGGACGCGTCCTCACAAGTTGCAGCTTCGAGTCAACAATCAACGAGTAATATACTCACTTGAGCATGGTCATCTCGAAACCATGAACGACAACG